ATATATATATATATATATATATATATATATATTGTTGTGTTCTGCAGAAGAATGAAAGAGTAAACAAAGACAGAATTTACATTTTGCAGTAAACTATGCATTTAAAATACATAACTCTAACAGATTGTATGAAATGGGCAGCTCTAATTATTTGTGCTTGTAGGAATGGTTGATTCGTCTATGATAGCTATAATGGGTTACATAGTGGATATTTGCCATGTGTCTGTCTACGGAAGCATGTACGCTATTGCTGATGTTGCACTCTGCATGGGATTTGCTGTTGGTAATTGCCCTTAATGCAGTTGTATTGGAATACATTTTTTTCTATTAGACATGTTTTGTACCATTTATTCTTATTCTGTCACAATTTAGATCTATTTTCTGGTTAAAACTTGGTGTTAGCTCACCCTAAGAGCTCCAGGAGCCAAACTGACTCTTCCTTCTTGGTGCATTCCTACTGCAGGTCCATCGACTGGAGGGGCCATAGTAAGAGCCGTAGGCTTCCCCAATCGCATGGTGATCATTGGCTTTATCAACATCCTGTATGCACCCCTTTGCTTCTTCCTCAAAAATCCTGTTGTTCGGGAGGAGAAGATGGTGAGAAACACAAATGTGACTGTATGCGTGTCTGTATCAACATGTTTACAAATGCTTTGTGATGACACCTGACACTTTTTTTCTCAAGGCTATTATAAATCAGGAGTGTCCAATGCATGTGAAGAGCTACAATACACAGCAGGGGTACAGGGAATTCCCTCTGAGTGATGAAAGTGAGGAGGACACTGAAGAGTGATGCACATATACTTATAAAGGAACTTACCAACAAATAATCAGGACCTACGAGCAGCCCTGATTCAAAAGGTTTAAAATTATTAATATAGCAACTTTCCCTATCCTTCACTATGATCACATGTTTGTGTAGTACAAATGGTTAGTGGAAAGTAAATATTGTTTTTGTACACTTGTAAAGTGTTGTTTGAATGAAATAAACAGGCCTGATTTGTCAACTTGAGTTGATTGTTTTCATCATGATGTGCATGTGAAAGTGATTGTGCATCAGTAATGAAGAGAAAATCCATTGTGAGTGGGATGCCAACTTCTTTTGTGCCTCCCGTGACACACCGTTAATTTCCTTTGGATATGCATCAAATGTCATTGAATTTAATGATTGTGATTTCCAGGGTAAAAGAATAGGAAGTTACGGACAAAGGGAACCGATATAGCTTCAAGTTCGACAACAAATTTGAAACCATAGATAACTTAATAACCAGTTTTTCTTGGTCATTATACAAAACAGGTGCCTTTTGTCTCCCTCATTAACATGTAAATACTGACATGAACAGTAACTACCAACTATATGCTATTTCATTAATTTAACACCAAATGTCCAGTTATATGCTGTAAAAGAACATAAGTGCAAACTGATTGTAATGTTTTGGACACTTAGTTACATGTTATTTACAAATGAATGAAAATGTGAATGGATGTGAGTGCATTTTTATATGTAAAATCATAATTATTAATAATATTAGTCAGTAATATTGTCGTCTTTGAAATATGGTTAAAGTGTACTGCCGAATATACTGACAAGCATTTGTGGTAAACATACTTTAATGTCATTTCTGTTGAAATTTATATGCCACGTATTTGAATATATTTATAATATAATATCAAATAACACACTACGGTTAAAATAATAACCAATTACTTTACATGTGCTTTAGTATGTTGGTCAATACATCAAAACAAGTGTACTTCTGTAAAGCAAGACAATAAAATATTAAAATATAATGATTTATAATTCATATAAAAGTAAAACTTATAATTTTTCATTATTGTAAATTGCATTTTTTGTGCGTTAAATGTGGGAAAGATTCATGAAAGTGTACTCTCTATAAGTACATGAGACTATTAATTTCATTAATATTACAGTAGTTTTTTAAGAATATACTTTGGACGGTGCACATTACAGTAAATGCAGAAACGTGTTAGCTTAGCATGAGATGGGATGATACAATTTATTAACAATCTATTTGTCTAACATACAATCAGCTTACCAAAAGAAAAATGCAGAAGTGTTTATTCACTTGATTTCTGCACTTACCGCGCCACCTATTGGGTGTTGTATCACTATAAATGGACAATTAAAACCGAACGGCGTTTCTGAAATGTGTGATAATTTGTATTTACAAATATTGACACTTAATATCACTTCACAACTGCTTGGTGAATAGCACGTTTCTTACCTCAAGTATAACTTACTTCGCTTGGACGTGTCGCTTCACATGGGAACTCTTTGAACAGTCAAGTTTCTGGGGAAATATTTTAAGGTCGCACTTTTAAACAACAGCGCTGTCTAAATACAAGTAGGCTACGTGCAGTTTATGGGTAAATCATTCCCATATAAGTAGTTTTTTAGTACATGGAGTAGAACTGAATCATTTAAATGATTCCTAAAACACAAGCTAGAGCTGTTAAGGCCGTGTTATAAAAATTAGCGGTCTGGAGCCGCTAGTAATACTTTTTGTCATGTGGTCTTTGTATTTCTCTACGGTCAAGGATAGTAAAATGTAAGACACCGCAATGGATGTGGCACACATTCTTCAGGAGATGAAAATCAGAGATGCAGCGGATTCCTGCTGCTCTGCTTTCAGCCGCATTCAGGAGCGGCTCGAGCTGGAAGAAGCGCCGGAGGGACGAGCGTTCATCCTGGGGGAGACCGCGGAGCTGCTCTCGCTCGCGCCGCTAGACTGGCTCTTCCCTGAAGCGAACGCTGACCTACGAGGCCAGTATTTGGGCCTAGTGAACTCATTCACCCGTTACGCTGCCCTGCCACTTTGTGACACAGACAGCGGCACTTTACCTGCCAAAAGTTACGAGGACATACCGGCCAAAGCCCAGGCTGTTAGTGCCGTGTTACTCGCGCTGTCCGCGCAGATTCAGAACGCGCTGGAGCATCAAAACCGTCCAGACATCAAGTCTCTAGTTCGCACACTAGCCCCCAGCTTCTGTATATTCTCCGTTACACACCTGCTGGAGCAGCCTTGGAGCAGTGCAGCCTCCAGAAACCGCGCTCGGGAGCTGCTAGCATCAGCTGTGGCGCTGATGGGCAGCAGGTCATTGCAGGAGCTGCTGTCTGGAAAACCTGGCGAGGGCCAGAAAGGACTTCTGGGGCCAGTTCTTGACACACTGCAGCTTGAATTAACCAAGTAAGTTTCAGAAAGTCAAAGCACTGGCCTCTCTCAGCTTTGCAAAATGTATATTTTTAATTAAATTGGCTCTGCAAAACTATATTTTCTAAGCAAACTAGAGGGTCAGTTCCTGTTATGCAGTACACAAGACATCATATACTGTACATCTTAATGTACTATATAAGACACACTGCTCACAATTTTAGGCGTTGTGAGTGTTATTTTTAGAATCGGGCTGTATGTATAAAGCCGCTCAGAGTAAAATTTTAGTCTTAAGTGTGTCAACATTCTAAGAATGACGTAATTTTACTCTTATTCCTAGACTTAAGAATAAGAGTGATTCATAAAGGTTCCTACGTGTTAAGACTAGGTCCCAGGTCCTAAATTATTTAAGAGAGCTGAAGAGGGCTGCTAACCTAGTTAGGAGTAACAAGATGGCAGCACAGAGACGACAAACACTTTCCAGCGAAGATATGACATATTGGAGTTATATGATGATATGGAGTTGATAAAACGATACAAACTTGATTGTCAAGATCAAAAAGTCTTTCTTTTTTTTCTTTTTTTTTGTAACTGACAAAGTAAGAAATGTAATAACTTCTTCCACTCAACAAGTCAATGCTCTAACTGCAGAAATGTAGTAGGCTAATGAAATTTTTTTGGCTGTAAAATTGGAAAAATGCAGCAATGCACCGGTGATGACACAGTAAGCAGGGTCTTACATATTGTGGCACTAACCCCACCAAACACAACAGTGGCCAAAGGTGATGTGTGGATTTTTTTTTTTTAATGACCCCACATTTCACTTAAACCACTAAAATACAAAGGGGAAAAAATCACTGACCAGTGTTGCCAACAGCTTTCAATCGAAAGTAGCTAAACCTGGTCACTTAATGTTGCTAGATGACCTCATAAAGGTGAGTACACTGATCTATATTTATATTTATATTTATATTTATATAGATCAGTGAACTGGCCTTTATGACGTCACGGGAGAGTCTCGGAATGTACATAAGGTTTGTCCAAGAAACTGATTTTGTTGCTAGGCTTTTGAAAAAAAAGTCTCTAAAGGGATGAGGAATTGGCAACACTGGCACACTGACTACAAAATAAGTTATTAATATTTCATTGGTCCTCTTGTTTTTGCATGTGTTCATAATTTCTTTGTATGACAGCATGCCAAAAATTATGACCGCACAATTTGGCATGTTTCATTGCATTATTATCACAAATAAAACAACGGACTCTAAGCAACTATGCAATATGCTTACAAAATCTTGAACATTCATTTATTTATTTATTTTAAGGGTGAAATTTCCTAGGCTGGACCTCACTTTTGGCCACTACTATATGGCAATTAATTAACTTTCCAACTGACCGCCAAACCATATTGCAAAAACAAGCCACTTTTATGAGGATTGTGGGCTTTCATGGAGTTGTTGGAGCCACTGATTGAACTCATGTTCACATCATTGCTCCAACTGTAAACGAGGAGACATACCAACAGAAAACGAAGCATCAGTAATAATTTGTGATAATTTTGCACAATGCAAAGAATGTATTTTTATTTTAATAAAAAAAAAACATTTAAATATTAAAATATTTCAGTGTCTTAATTAAATGATTTTGTAGTAGTTACACTAAATGATTGGTGTTGTGCTGCTGTGACTTCACATGAACAGGCTCACTATTGGCTGATTCAGAGGTTGAGGTCAGCCATTTTGTGTTGACATCATTGTAGTAACACTTAAGTGTCACCTCAGTCAAAACTTAAGAATCAGTCTTAGACTTTACTGAAAGCTGCTTTTAGCTTCTTTATAAAAGTCTCCTACTCGTAGACAAGTCCTACTTTTTACTAAGAATTTTTTGACACTTAAGTCAAAGCTTAAGACTATTCTTAAGAGCATTTCTGAGAAGTTTTATACATACGGGCCCAGGTTTCTTTTTTTTATTAATATGACGGTGAACTTGGAAGCATAATGGCTACTTAAGGACCACTTAAGTAAAATTATAGGAACTTAATTACATTTTAAACAATATGGACATTTCTATAGTGAATATGCATTTTTTTTTTTTGTTATGTTTTGGTTTAAAATCAGAAATACAAAAAAGGTGTGGACATCCCACAAACCCAATAAAGGCTCAGGTGTGGGAAAATAAAGCAAGAAATTAAGGAAATGGCCACACGCTTATGTAACTGCTCCAAAAAAACTTTATTAAAATATGTACAATGTTTTGACCATCAGGGCCCGTATTCACAAAACATCTAAAGGCTAAACGTCGCTCGCCGATTTAGGAGAAAATCTTAAAAATAATGGGCGTTTCAGTCCTAAATGTAGGACTCCTAAAATTTTGCTCTAAGAGTGTTTCGCAAAGCGTTTTAGCGCTAAAACTAGCTCCTAAATCTGTGAAACATTAGGAGTAGTGAAGAGGACTCCTAAGTCACTAAGACCAAGCCACAAACTATCCTAAAATGGCTGTTGCTGTCAATCTGCCTCAGAATATAAACATTTTAGAAACCTCTGATGATAATGAGCTTTTAAAAAGGTATCACCTTTGGTTTTGGAGGTTACCCCAACTCCAAATGTTCCTTTGATTATATCCTTGTTTTCATTAACCAGCTGGGCAAGAAGTAACAGCTGTTCTTGCGTCCAGTTTGGTTTTCTTTTACGTTTGCGTGTCTTACCATCAGCCATGATTATTCTACTCTGTTAAT